TCCAGAGGCGAAATTGCAGCTGACCATAAGCTTGCATGGCCGCACTGTGGGCGGCCGGATCTCGGGCCAGCTGCTCAAAGAGGTTGAGCGGCTCAACCCCTCGCATTGCCGGTGGCAAGCTGATCTCTGCAGGAAGCCTCTCGTTGCCCAGCACAAAGTGGTCCAGGCGTCTGAACTGCAGGCAGCAGCCCAGGTACGCCACCACGTCCCACAAGTGGACCACAAATTCCCTCCTGCTCCACCTGGACAGTGGTACGATGGTCAGCAGGTGCATGACCACAGTCTTCCAGGTAGAGCTGGAAAAACCTGTGCCCCTCAGGATGCAGGTGAAGACCTGCAGGCATTTCAGGTGCAAGCTCTCACATGGCACCTGTCTGGCCACGCGCTGGAAGAATTTCACCTCGGCCACTGCGTACGTCTCAGGCCACGCTGTGCTTGCAGTGAAATTGGCCTCGGTGGGCTGGCTGCTGCTCACCACCAAGATGCTGGAGCCGCCTTCCTGGGCCTCTGGGGGCTGGCTCACCACAAAGATGTCGGAGTCCCCTTGGCGCACCCCAAAGAGCATCTCCACCGTCAGGCTCTTCTTGCCTCTGCTCAGCTGGAATCGGCAAGACCGGCTGCAGGGCTGAAACACCAAGTGCCACGAGTATGACTGAGGCACACGCAGCCACGAGGACCTCACCAGCTGGTGGAACCAGCGACAGGTTTTCTCCACATCCAGGTAGGAGCCGGTGCACAGTGTCTCTAGGAGGCTGCGCTTCTGCTCCTGCCACAGCTCCTCCTGCGAGTGGTGCAGCAAGCACAACAGCTTCTCACCCAGCTGCTCCCTCCTGCACGTGCACACCAGCTCCACACGGACACTGAAGGTCCTTGCTGCCATCTGCCCTGCACTGTTCACTTCCAGGTGGAAGGTGTGCCCTGGTGGGGGATTCAGCGGAACCACCACACGATACACCCCATCCCACTCACAGGGACTCCAACCCTCAAAGGCACTGCCCACCCCAATGGCTTCCTCAGGCACCGGGTAGAAACTATTGCTCACGCTGTCCACAAAGACACGCGTGAAGCTCTCCATCAGCTCAGCAGTCACTGAGCAACCTCTCTCCACAGCCTTCATAGGCCCCTGTAAGCAATCTACTAAAAGGACGCCTTGATTATTCTCAACATCTCGGCTGTCTTCTCTCTCTTCAATGCCATCACTGCTACTTCCTGCCTTGCCGCCATTACTGCATTCTTTTCCACTGCCAGCCAAGCTACCTTGCTCATCTTTTCTCCTATCTTTGTTCTCATTTCCCTCCACATTTACACCATCCTTCTTTCTAGCATTGTCATCCTCTTTTATAACTTCCTTATTTTCTTCCTCAGTTTCTTCCTCAGCAAGACCTCTACGGTCTACTTCATTCCCACTGCATCTGTTATCTTCCTGCCCAGTCCAATCACTGTTTCTTTGTACACTGGCATCACTGCTTTCCTGCTCCTTCTTCACCTCTGCGTATTCTTCCTTTCCCTCTACATTGTCTTCCCCTTCATTTACATCATCACTATTGCCTGCCTTCATTTCTACACCGTTGGATTTTTCTATATTTCCATCTCCTTCTTCCTTTCCAGTGGCCTTGTCTTGCTCCATCTGCACACCCTTGTTTCCTCCTACATTTGCCTCATCCAGGCCTTCCAGATTTCCTGCAACATTGACATGTTTGTCTTCATTTGCATTATCACTGTTGCCTGCCTTCATATTGGCACCGTGAGATTTTTCTTCTTTTCCATCTCCTGCTTCTTCTTCCTTTTCAGCATCCTTGTCTTCATCCACCTGCACATCCTTGTTTACTCCTTCATCTGCTTCCTCTAGGCCTTCCACATTTCCAATAACATTGACACATTCCTCTTCATTCCCTTCAGCACTATCGTCTGCTGGCACATTCCCATCACACCATCCTTCATCTTTTCTTAAGTCATGGCCACTGTCACTCTTAACGACACATTCTCCCTTCGCCTTCACATCATCGTTGCCTTCAATGACATCATCGACATGGCCTTCATCTGCAGCCACAGGACTTCCGTCTCTGGCATGTCCACTGCTGCTGTCGTCTCCCTCCACAGTCACATCAAGGTCTTCTCCATCATCCTTTGAATCAACGCTGTCTCCTTCCAATTCTTCCCCTCTCACGTCTCCCAAGGTCGTGCAGGAGCTCTGGTCCTTGGCACTGCTGCTGGCCCCATGGCTCCTTGTCCTGCAGCTAAACCACAGGCCCAAGAGGAGCAGGACTCCAGCAAGAGCCCAGAATGGCCACAGCTGCAGAGCACCAAAGAGCACGGCTCCCCAGCCCTCGTCCTGCTGCTCCGGGGGC